TCACAACATAATCTGCATTTGCTCGCTGGACAGAGATATGGTAAATGGATCAGCTGGATGAAAGGTAAAGGCCACAAGGCTTCTAGTGGACGATAAGGAAGTTGAAGATCCAAAGAGACTGCCGCGTCCAGCATGAATACTGAACTTGATGAGGCCGGAGTCACGACCATAAAACCTAAAAGGAAAATGGCGTGATTTTATTCTCTAAACTTAATTGGTGCTCAGTTGACTATATTTCCACTTTTTTTACTCTAGTATCAACTTTCATACTTTTGTATTAAATAAACCAAAAATAATGTATAACTTTAGAAGTAACTGATGGGCAAGTGAATTAGAAATTATTCTAATACAATAAAACATTTGTTAGGTATTCATTTTGTTTCATTATAAACATGATATTCAATAAAATGTATTGCAATTCCTGATCAAACACCTATTCATCCCAAGAATATGTATATGCATAGAGACAAAGAGAGAAAGTCTGTGTATGTGAGGAATAGTCCACTCTCAAATCTTTATTCATTATCACAGAATATTTGCTCCATTACTTACACACTCATAAAGATAAAATTACTGACCTGATGGGATGATCTGCGCAGTTCTTTGGGCGTTCCATCACAGATACCCATTTGTCGTCATAAGAGAAGAGCGTTAAGTCTAAATATGGAGAGGCTGAGTATGATTGCGCTGAGATTGGCAACTGACCCAAAAGTCGTTTTGTAGCTACTGTCACGCCCCCGCCCCTTGCGCTGATAATCGTCTTCTTAAATCTCTTGTGAATTAATCTGAAAGAGATAAAATATAATTATTCAGAAATATTAATAACTGAACAGAGAGATGTACAGATGGGAGAGGGATGTTGGAAAGAACTGATCCACATGTCTATACCCATAAGGCTGATGCCCAACCTTCAATAGTATGTGTATATGCATGTGTGTGTGTGTGTGTGTGTGTGTGTGTGTGGTGTGTGTGTGTGTGTGTGTGTGTGTGTGTGTGTGTGTGTGTGTGTGTGTGTGTGTGTGTGTGTGTGTGTGTGTGTGTGTGTGTGTGTGTGTGTGTGTGTGTGTGTGTGTGTGTGTGTGTAAATGTATATGCACACACACACACACACACACACAAAAGTTATTTTTTTCTAATTTGTCCGCATAACAATGGTTAATGGTTAAAAGCAAAATATAAATGTGCTAGACATCTAAGGTAATAAAGCACTATAGGAAAGTGTATTGTAGGAGGGGTGAAGGGTGATGGTTGCCATTTGTCAACTATCTAGAGTGATCTTGAAAGGTTACATAAGGGATTCACGTGTGTATCCAGGAGGGAGTGGAAATGATAGAGGGGATGGAAGGAAGGAGAATATACGTATAGTTGGAGTAGAGGGGGATGGGTTGTATTGGGAAGGAGTAGGAGAAAGGGTGTACGGGAATATGAGTACAAGGATTGATATCAGTAGTATCAGGAGAGGGCGTAGGAGGAAGGGGTGTATGGGGAATATGAGCAGGAGGGGGACCGATATCAGCAGTGACTTCAAGTGTGGAGGGAGCATGAGTTGTGGAACTTTTTGTCTCAAGCATATAGTTTTGGATATCTTCCATAGTTTCTGCAGTGGAGTTGGTTGGAAAGTTTTGTGAGACAAAGGTTTTCTTATGAGGGGGGAAAAGGAGACTGGTGTATGAGGAATAAAGGCAAAGGTAGGTGGAGGTGAGTGTGCAGTAGGGAAGAAGGGGAGGGGGAACGTTTAGTCTGTCTGCTGGGTAGTACGGGGAGGAGAGGGGACAGTGTTGGGGCTGTCGTTGAGATTGGAGTGTCTGGGTTTAGAGTAACGAAAGAATTTGACTGGGGGAGGCAGAATGTAGAAGTGGAAGTGGCAAAGTAAGTAGGTATAGGGGAGGGTGTAGGAACATCTTGAGGTGGAGGGGGGAGAGGCAGAGCGAGCAACATTACTAGAGTAGGGAGTATAAGAGAAATCTTGTCAGTGTGCTTCCTGTCTGGCTTCATGTAAAGTGAGGCCATTTTTGTATCTGAAAGTTGCTACCCCAGACTCAAACCAGTCAGTGGGACAACTTCTATAAAATACATTATGGGGGCTGCTGCAGTTAGCACATGTACGTGTTTGTGCAGGGCAGTTTGATCTGTTTTGACCAGGTTGGGCACATTGGGGGCATCGGTCTGTGGAGTGGCAGTGTTTGGCAGGATGTCCAAATCGCCAACAGTTTTGACATTGACTGAGAGGAAGTTTGTATGGTCGAACAGGGAGGAATTGTCCACTAATGTACAGATGAACAGGAAGGTCATGTATACTGAAAGTAATTTTGGCAATGTTGGTGGGTCTCTTTCGATGACCTCTAGGAGGAATGGAGTAGCAATGTACTGATTTCACGTCTTGGTCTTTGAGGCATTCACATACGTCTTCTCCACAGTCTGACCAATCTTTGGTATCGACTGGGCAGTTTGCTGGGGAGATAGAAACAGTTCCGGTACATATATCAAGAGTTGGATGAGGTTCTGTAGGAATGGGGTTGCCATAGTGATCAGTTAGATTTGATAATGCTATAGCTTCAGTTTTGGATCTGACTGTTACGAGACGGGAGCGATTGCGTCGGGTATGGAAAGGGACTCTGCCCACTTGTTTTGGAGGCCTTGTTGAAAGAGAGGAGTGTTGCCTGAGTAAGGGGCTGTAGCGGGGATCACAAAAAATTGGTCCCATTTAGCTGGGCTAAACAGAGTATTTAAGATATTTGTAGGGTTGGTGGTGGTAAAAGGACAGGGCCGTGTGGAAGCAGGAGTGTTACTGAGGGGGGTAGTATTCTGGAGAGATGGAGAATAAGGCGGTAAGGTAGTACTAAGGGAGGTTGGGGTGTTTGATGAAGAAGGTTGCATGGGTAGAGGTGATGTAGTTGAGGAAGTTGGGAGAGTAGAAATGTCTTCTTGAGATTCAGTCTCTGCTTGGGTGGGTAAAACACTAGTAGGTATTGAGGAGTGGGTAACAATTTCAGTGTTCAGAGTCGTGGTCAAACGAGAGCCTGGGGTTGGGGAGCCAGTAGTGTGTGAGTTGGTGGGGCAAGCCTCATTGCCTCTAATATAGGTATTACTTCATTAATGGCCATGGGAAGCCTTGATTATGTAGGGGAAATAAACAATCCACCCCCTCAGTGCCCCTTAAGGGGGTAAGGGCTAGCCAACTACATTAGGGGAATACCGTGCCCATGGTCCCCGCAGGCCGTTCAGGACTGGCACAAGGTCAGCCTTTCATCCTTTCAGCACGGCTCTTATCTACTTACGAAGTAGATAGTAGAAGAGGTTGGAGAAGGGACGGAAACAGAAAGCTGGATGGAGAAAAGGCCATGCAAAATTAGTTGAGTCGAAGGCCCTAGGCAGGGGAGATCCTTGCACTGGGTCTCAGTCTCTGTCTCCTAAGCCACCCTATGACAACAATGGGCAAGGGATTGAGGGGGTCCATGTAACAGTTTGTGATAATTTTGGCATTATTGAATTCCTCTCACTGTCTTCTTACTAAATATATAGAAATTATTACGCATAAAATCCCCAAACCCCCAACATTCTTGGCCCTGTTATCAGGGGAGGGCATGAAAGGTACCAGGGAAACTCCTGGGTAAAAAGTAAATGATATACACAGAATCAGTATTGTCTAATGCAGGGGGCTGTGGCCTCTGCGACCCCTCATGTAAGGTTGCTGTCCCCCAACCCCCATCCAGGAAAACAAGGAATCCTCCACGTATTCACGGCAGGTGCAAACGTACAGCCGCCATGCGGGAGCGTTGTTGCCAAGTCTGTCTGGGGCCAAGAATGTGGGGGTTCAGGAGGATTTTACGCAATAAAACCTGCATATTCGCATTGTAGATGGTAAGAGGAATCCAACAATACCGGAATAATTGTGATCTGCCAAACCAGCGATATTTTTGAAGTCATGTGATATTAGTAAAATATTCTTGACTGTAAGTTTGTGTAACATGCAGTCTATATTAACATAAAAGTTTAAGGGAAAAATAGACATTTCCTATTTGAAAAAAGCCTTTCCCACCTAAAAAGGATGTGGCCCTGTTCCTTGCCCTGGGACACTAGCCGCCTCATGGCGTCCATGTATATATATATAAAAACGCACACACACACACACACACATATATATGTGTGTATGTTGTGTGTGTGTGATGTGTGTGTGTGTGTGTGTGTGTGTATATCATTTACTTTTTACCAGGAGTTTCCCTGGTACCTTTCATGCCCTCCCCTGATAACAGGGCCAAGAATTTGGGGGTTTGGGGATTTTATGCGTAATAATTTCTATATATTTAGTAAGAAGACAGTGAGAGGAATTCAATAATGCCAAAATTATCACAAACTGTTACATGGACCCCCTCAATCCCTTGCCCATTGTTGTCATAGGGTGGCTTAGGAGACAGAGACTGAGACCCAGTGCAAGGATCTCCCCTGCCTAGGGCCTTCGACTCAACTAATTTTGCATGGCCTTTCTCCATCCAGCTTTCTGTTTCCGTCCCTTCTCCAACCTCTTCTACTATCTACTTCGTAAGTAGATAAGAGCCGTGCTGAAAGGATGAAAGGCTGACCTTGTGCCAGTCCTGAACGGCCTGCGGGGACCATGGGCACGGTATTCCCCTAATGTAGTTGGCTAGCCCTTACCCCCTTAAGGGGCACTGAGGGGGTGGATTGTTTATTCCCCTACATAATCAAGGCTTCCATGGCCATTAATGAAGTAATACCTATATTAGAGGCAATGAGGCTTGCCCCACCAACTCACACACTACTGGCTCCCCAACCCCAGGCTCTCGTTTGACCACGACTCTGAACACTGAAATTGTTACCCACTCCTCAATACCTACTAGTGTTTTACCCACCCAAGCAGAGACTGAATCTCAAGAAGACATTTCTACTCTCCCAACTTCCTCAACTACATCACCTCTACCCATGCAACCTTCTTCATCAAACACACCCCAACCTCCCTTAGTACTACCTTACCGCCTTATTCTCCATCTCTCCAGAATACTACCCCCCTCAGTAACACTCCTGCTTTCACACGGCCCTGTCCTTTTACCACCACCAACCCTACAAATATCTTAAATACTCTGTTTAGCCCAGCTAAATGGGACCAATTTTTTGTGATCCCCGCTACAGCCCCTTACTCAGGCAACACTCCTCTCTTTCAACAAGGCCTCCAAAACAAGTGGGCAGAGTCCCTTTCCATACCCGACGCAATCGCTCCCGTCTCGTAACAGTCAGATCCAAAACTGAAGCTATAGCATTATCAAATCTAACTGATCACTATGGCAACCCCATTCCTACAGAACCTCATCCAACTTGATATATGTACCGGAACTGTTTCTATCTCCCCAGCAAACTGCCCAGTCGATACCAAAGATTGGTCAGACTGTGGGAGAAGACGTATGTGAATGCCTCAAAGACCAAGACGTGAAATCAGTACATTGCTACTCCATTCCTCCTAGAGGTCATCGAAAGAGACCCACCAACATTGCCAAAATTACTTTCAGTATACATGACCTTCCTGTTCATCTGTACATTAGTGGACAATTCCTCCCTGTTCGACCATACCAACTTCCTCTCAGTCAATGTCAAAACTGTTGGCGATTTGGACATCCTGCCAAACACTGCCACTCCACAGACCGATGCCCCAATGTGCCCAACCTGGTCAAAACAGATCAAACTGCCCTGCACAAACACGTTACATGTGCTAACTGCAGCAGCCCCCATAATGTATTTATAGAAGTTGTCCCACTGACTGGTTTGAGTCTGGGGTAGCAACTTTCAGATACAAAAAATGGCCTCACTTTACATGAAGCCAGACAGGAAGCACACTGACAAGATTTCTCTTATACTCCCTACTCTAGTAATGTTGCTCGCTCTGCCTCTCCCCCCTCCACCTCAAGATGTTCCTACACCCTCCCCTATACCTACTTACTTTGCCACTTCCACTTCTACATTCTGCCTCCCCAGTCAAATTCTTTCGTTACTCTAAACCCAGACACTCCAATCTCAACGACAGCCCCAACACTGTCCCCTCTCCCTCCCCGTACTACCCACAGCAGACAGACTAAACGTTCCCCCTCCCCCTTCTTCCCCTACTGCACACTCACCTCCACCTACCTTTGCCTTTATTCCTCATACACCAGTCTCCTTTTCCCCCCTCATAAGAAAACCTTTGTCTCACAAAACTTTCCAACCAACTCCACTGCAGAAACTATGGAAGATATCCAAAACTATATGCTTGAGACAAAAAGTTCCACAACTCATGCTCCCTCCACACTTGAAGTCACTGCTGATATCGGTCCCCCTCCTGCTCATATTCCCCATACACCCCTTCCTCCTACGCCCTCTCCTGATACTACTGATATCAATCCTTGTACTCATATTCCCCGTACACCCCTTTCTCCTACTCCTTCCCAATACAACCCATCCCCCTCTACTCCAACTATACGTATATTCTCCTTCCTTCCATCCCCTCTATCATTTCCACTCCCTCCTGGATACACACGTGAATCCCTTATGTAACCTTTCAAGATCACTCTAGATAGTTGACAAATGGCAACCATCCCTTCACCCCTCCTACAATACACTTTCCTATAGTGCTTTATTACCTTAGATGTCTAGCACATTTATATTTTGCTTTTAACCATTAACCATTGTTATGCGGACAAAATTAGAAAAAAATAACTTTTGGTGTGTGTGTGTGTGTGCATATACATTTACACACACACACACACACACACACACACAACACACACACACACACACACACACACACACACATACAACACACACACACACACACACAACACACACACACACACACACACAACACACACACACACACACACACACACACACACACACACACACACACACACACACACATGCATATACACATACTATTGAAGGTTGGGCATCAGCCTTATGGGTATAGACATGTGGATCAGTTCTTTCCAACATCCCTCTCCCATCTGTACATCTCTCTGTTCAGTTATTAATATTTCTGAATAATTATATTTTATCTCTTTCAGATTAATTCACAAGAGATTTAAGAAGACGATTATCAGCGCAAGGGGCGGGGGCGTGACAGTAGCTACAAAACGACTTTTGGGTCAGTTGCCAATCTCAGCGCAATCATACTCAGCCTCTCCATATTTAGACTTAACGCTCTTCTCTTATGACGACAAATGGGTATCTGTGATGGAACGCCCAAAGAACTGCGCAGATCATCCCATCAGGTCAGTAATTTTATCTTTATGAGTGTAAGTAATGGAGCAAATATTCTGTGATAATGAATAAAGATTTGAGAGTGGACTATTCCTCACATACACAGACTTTCTCTCTTTGTCTCTATGCATATACATATTCTTGGGATGAATAGGTGTTTGATCAGGAATTGCAATACATTTTATTGAATATCATGTTTATAATGAAACAAAATGAATACCTAACAAATGTTTTATTGTATTAGAATAATTTCTAATTCACTTGCCCATCAGTTACTTCTAAAGTTATACATTATTTTTGGTTTATTTAATACAAAAGTATGAAAGTTGATACTAGAGTAAAAAATAAAGTGGAAATATAGTCAACTGAGCACCAATTAAGTTTAGAGAATAAAATCACGCCATTTTCCTTTTAGGTTTTATGGTCGTGACTCCGGCCTCATCAAGTTCAGTATTCATGCTGGACGCGGCAGTCTCTTTGGATCTTCAACTTCCTTATCGTCCACTAGAAGCCTTGTGGCCTTTACCTTTCATCCAGCTGATCCATTTACCATATCTGTCCAGCGAGCAAATGCAGATTATGTTGTGAACTTCCACTTGAGACATAAACCAAGTTGACAGGGATTTTACTCTAAAGTGATCTTGTGCTTCTTTGGAATATAGATTCCCCCATAGACGTCACACTCTTTCTTTACTTTTTTATCTGCTTTTGCTGCCTTTACCTTTAAAATAATGTTAGAGAAATATATTAGATGTGATGCTTCTAAGGCAAGTCTTAAGGAAATGTCTTGACTTTCAAAGATGCAGTCCGTGTATGGATGGTTCTTCAATGTAAATATCAATCTATAAAGTGTTGATTGTTTAATTACTTCTCCTGGGCCTAATATTTCATATAACCACTGAGACAAAGCCATAGGATCTTACAAATATGGATTTTATCATAACTAAAATATATGTATAGAATATCTTCAGTACTCAGATTAGTTACAAAAACATGTACTAATCACAGAAAAAGTATATGAAAAAGCAGTTTGATTTTTTTTTTTCTTTAAGGATGTCAGCTTTAAATTGAAAAATAAATTAGAAAATATCAGGACAGCCACAGTAAGAGTTTTTCAGTATAATCATTCCTTTAATGATTAAAATATATTTATTTTGATTAGAAGGTATCTTAATCCAATGTTGCCAGGATGGCATGTACATACATGCCAATGCCAGTGTAAGTTTACTTTATTAACTGTCTTTACACATAGATGGCAGCACAAGTACTGTCACCAGTGAGCCAGTTACCCACATTCACTTGTCCACCCATTACCTTGATTTTTGGAAATATTTCTGGCATCTTATGCCAGCTTTTTAATAATTATAATATGATAATTATAATAACGAACATTAATATTCATAGCATTAGTAAAAAAAACTCAAGAACACAGGTGAAGTCACAAGGTCTACTAATTGACTACTTTGTAGCTAAGCA